TCTGCGTTGGTGGACCGTAACGGACGCTTGGCGTGGGAACGTTGTTCGGGTACCGTGCACTTAAGCGGGCCCGTAACAATAGTGAGAGTGGACTTGCGCTGCATCTACCGCCCTCTCTCCCCCATCCCACGTGGGCCCGATGTCATGACCAAGTCAAGAAGACCGGAGGCGGGAGAGGGTGCAGGTGAATGGCGCGGCCGATGCCGCCATATCTGAATCGCATCCCTCGGAGTGGGAGTCTCCTAGAATTCACATTAAGACGGAACCATTGCAACCTGATTCTCAGTCCGCCAGTCGCCCACTACTCACAAACACACACCGAGTTGACCGCGTGGTCTAGGGTACTCCGTTAGTTCGCAACCTTCAAAGCCACAGCTTTCAGCTCATCGTGACAGGTTAGAGTGCTTCTGATTATTTCTAGTGTGCTGAGCCGTCAACCTCACTCTCTATTCCCAGACCCCAGCCACTGTGCAAGCCGGCCATTTAACTGGTGCGGAGAATGGCTGCGACTGACGATATATCTAATTATCTCGTATGCGCGTACCACGGACAATGCATCCCCCCCCCCAAACACGAGTGCCTGGATTTCATAGGAAAGAGATTGTGTCACTCACATCTCGCAATCGCGAGATTACCAGAGGTCACGGTAAGAAGAAAGCATTGCAGTCTGACTTCCCGACCACCAGTTAGCCATTCCACACAAAAACACATTAAGCTGGCTGCGAGATCTGATTTCTATCGTCAGTTGGCAATCTTCCAAGTTACGGCGCTAAACGCACCGTCATAGTCTCAGGCTCAGATCACAGATGCAACAGAGGAATCACATAGAGAAAGAGTCGAGTGTTTTACTTCTCTCTCTCTCTCTCATGTAATAGATGTTCGTTACAGGCATGTGTGGTGTGATGCAGGCGGTGGTGTCGTGTTGTAGTCAGCGGCATCCTCCCACAGGTTTTCACGGAGGTGCACGTGTCCAGTAGCCCCCCAATGCGGTATGCGAATGTGCATGAAAAGTGCGGACTTGGCTTCGTAGAGTGCTGCGTCAGTCCTCACTGCTTCTAGGCGAGTCGATCCCGAGTGCGGTCCTCCCACGTCTGCAGTTTTATTTGAAGTTGCTCCACAGAGTTATTCGATGTTTCCCTGTAAGGTCGTTTTTTGTTTTGTCTGCAAGCACTCATATCATCATCTCCGTAGAAGATTCGTTTGGCCATTCGTTCATTGTCCATGCTCACCAGGTACCAGCTCCCTTGCAGTTGCAGTTACCCCAGCATGGAGTGAATGCTGAGGCCTCTAGTTTGCTCCAGAATTTCCGTATACGGAACCCCGTTTTGCCTAATCAGCCTCAGTATTCTGCGGAAACAGTTCAGGTGGAAGTGGTTGAGCTTTTCGGCGTGGTTGGAGTAGATAGTCTAGGTCTCCGCTGCATGCAACTGTGTCATCAGGATGCGGCCCTCAGTTTGACTTAGAGATTCGATGAGCAACCTCGTCGTTGACTCTAGTGTTGCGCGATAGTGGGCTTTCTAGATAGACAAAGTTGCCTATAGTTTTAGGTTGGATGCCATTTAAATTAATGTGGTGAGCGTTGTAGGCAGTGTTAGCCGGTGGTTGGTATATAATCACCGTTTTGTCCGTATTGATGATCATTCCGATGCTGGCAGAGCCGGTGGCGAAGAGGTCCAAGGTCTTTCGTATGTCCTCTTGCGTCGTGCTGCAGTCGTCCGCAAAGAGAAGGTCATGGACGCCTTAAGGCCTGTATGCGCCGGGTATTGAGAAGATGTGCGTCAATCTTTTGGGTGATATGTATCCTCGGGCGCTCAGCATGGTAGGCGTCCAACAGGGCAGAGAACTTGAGACTGAAAAGGGAGCGAGTGAATACACACCCCTTTTTATTCCCTTGGTCACTGCAAATGCTTCGGAGACTGCACTTTGTCAGTGACGCGTGCTATTATTCTGTCACGGAGCGTGTGTGTGATACGCTCGGGACAGCTGAATTTTCTAGAGGCCATCGCATTTCATTGTGTTGAAGGCTACTGTATGTTTGTGTTCGTATCCCTTGGCTGGCAGACTGCGAAGCTCATGTCAGTTGTTCTGCGGTGTCGTCGGATGCCACAGTGGCCTTCCAGAAAAAAATCCGTGTTCTAAATGGCTTTTTAAATGCTGGGGGGAGAGCACGCAAACTTTCCCTGCTAAACCTGTTAGCATAGGCGACTGGCTAAATATAACGGCACGTCATTTTTCACCTGTTATCTGCGTTTTTCTTTAAATATGATTGGCCCAAATGTCCGTGAATAGAATTGTTCATTTTATTTAGGACATGGCACGAAGGGCCAATAGAAAAGTACTGTACTGTCTCAGCGTCTCCTGATGCCCGCCCCCCTGATATCCCCTATTTGCATATATTAGGTTGCCAAGTACCGGCGCGACTTCGAGTTGGAGGTTGCCAATAAGGAGTTGGACAATGCCCTGCAAATGGCAACTTGTGACGCAGAGGAAAACCTGCGCATCGCTGAAGAGCGCATTCGCATCAGGTTGCAAGAGAACATTTGTACCCTTCAAATCGAACGCGCCTTGGCCAACCGCCGGAAACGAATACGTACGAACCTCATCTTTTGCCCACTTTGGATTTTCCCTGAAAATATATACGTAGCCAAGTAGCTGTCAAAACCCCTAACACTGACTGTCCTTCATTTCCGACTTGAAGCAATGGTCAAGCGAACTATCTCTTAAGCTAAAACGCCTCATGCATTCATAGTGGATCCACATGTATCACTGCATCACAGGATCTCTCCGCTCCTCATCCCAAATGTCGTATTTTATTGTCTAGATTTTCGCTTTCCGTTAATATTCCGGTCTATGGTTTTTATAATTACCAGCAGTTTGCCTTCATATTTCAGATGTGTATTTTTTAATTCCCTGTAGCCCACATTTCCAAATCCAAGACAAAGGCCTCCTTTGATGCCGGTCATGGACGCCGTCACAAGGACTTCACAAAGTCCCCGAATTATGGTTTTACGCCAACAGGCGAGCAGGTCGGATCCGTGTTAACGCCGGCCACTCCGTTGGCGGCGATGGAGCTGGAGGACTGTAATGAGACCTGTTTGCCCAGTCAGGATCTAGAGCCACGGCGAAAGCCCGTGGCGCTGCCCCCCTCCCTTCCCCGACTAATCTACGAGCTGGACGAAGAAGACATCCAGACTGACCTTCAGGTCATCATGAATGCCGTGAAAGTGAGTTTGTGCTGATCGGCGGCTTCCACGACATCGATAGTTTTTGCAGGTTTACCTGCTAATAAAAACTCAATCAATGTCGTTTTGTCAACAGCAAAGACATGCTTAGTAAATGTCTCACAGCTAGTTTAGCCTTTCCAGCCATGGCCACTCGCATGTGCTAGTGAGCGGCCGTAAGCGTGAAACTTCGCATGGAAACTGTTGGTAGTAAGTCTGACTTTTCGAGATCGCCCATTAGAGTATTCGTATACTGGACTAAATACAGTTAATTTCTATTTCGTACGCACATCTAGTACTGTGGCCTATGAGCTTGGTATTTAAAATGACACTCATGAGTCTACTATTGACTGGCGCTAGATCTGCAAACATGGAGTCGGATGAATCAATAATGCGGAATTGCACCATTCTTGAAAGGAACCATTTGGGACTTGGAGTGGCTCTGTGCAGAAATGATTCATCCATCGCATGCAAAGGCCTCATCACTGCGTTTCCCTCGACACTGCTGCGGTTTTGGACTGTGTGTGGCTTCAGAAGGAAACCCAACCAAGCCGGATTTCCATTTTAACGCTTGTTCCTCAGACGGATATCCACACTGTGGTGCATTTTTGAACTCCGCCATAGCTTCCAACGACCGTCTGCCTTGTTGCCTTCGCTACAAGTTTAATTCCTTCGTATAAACGGCAAGGCAGGCATCCCAAGAAATGTAATATCAAGGAAAGGCGTCCTTTGGGAAAATGATGAAATTTGCTGAATAAATTTCGTCATATTCCCAAAGGGCGCCTTTCCTTGAAGTTTAATTCCATTAGCCATGAGTCCTTTATGGCGAATTGTCAAGCCAAATGTTATGCCGGCAAAATTACCGGTGTGATCGTAGCCTGCTAACGATCTACCAATCGGGTTTTGACCTTTTACAGCTTTTTCAACGGCTCAACCGGCAAGGTAGTAATCTTTTGCCCATCCTTTTTGACTGGCCCCTTAACCGTTTTGTTAGACAGAGGCTACATGGTTTAAGTGGTGTCAAGTCTGTTCTATTTCAAGCATTGAAAACTTCTACGTTTTGCTTTAGTGGTATGAGTATGTGGAACTTAATTTCTGATCCTCGGGAAAGGCATTGTTTGTCGTTTCTTGCTACAACTATCACATTTCTCTAACCGCTTCTTTTATGATCTGACTTCTTTTGTGGCCCGCCGCTGTCCCGGAAGGGGTGCAGTTGCGACTTTCGCTTTAATTTACTGCTAGTGAAGGAGACTGGGAGGGGGGGCACCTATTGTACTCAAATTTTCTGCATTTATTGTGCAGCGGCTCAAGAGGCCGAAGCCATGCCCACACATAATAAAGCTAGCGACAACCCGCGGTTGGGGCATACTATCCTGCAGACCGTCTTGGTGTCTGCTGTCGCCACCTAAGTCCTCAGGACAAAAAGCCGTGGCCGGTAAATAAACTGTTTGCACGCACTGTCTACCAAAAGTAATTGACTTTACCCAGTAGCCTAAGGAAGACTAGCTCGTTAGAAAACCAGCGCTGTCACCTGGTGCGACATAGCGTATTATCGTTACTAATTTACCATCTTAGTTTCGTTTTTACTGCGCTTCGGAAAGTAATTTCGAGCGCAATATCCTGGGTCTTATTTATAGTTCCACTTTTTCTTGCGACCAAGAAGCTTGCGCAAATGAGTCAGTTTAATTAAATTATAACCGGGCCCCAGTCTATTTAGCTTGCCGAAAGGAGTGCTGTCTGTCTGGAGTTCCTTCACAAAACGTCTGGAGTTTCTTCACTAAAAACGTCTTTTTTTTCTTTTGTAGGAGCACAAGGTTGCATTAGCTATGGCTCAGATGAACGCGGAAAAGCGGGAGTCCTGAGTAGTTTGAGCCAACCAACTGAACTCTTTTCCTTGACACTTGGGAACCAACTGTACATATTATTTGTTGTTGTTAATTTCGATTATAATGCGATTTCCGGGAAGGCATGCTGCAGTTTCTGTTTGTCATTGTACATATATTTCTCTACCTGAGTCCCCTGTCATCAACAATATTTGTTTGGTCCACGCGGCATCACGGACTAGTGCGTCCTATGACCTGAGATCATACACTGGGTGTTGCGCATTTGTCGCTCAGTGGCGTTTAATTTCTCCAAAACCGGTGTTTTTTAAATCACCATTCCCTCCTGATCCGTTGTGAGCCAGTCTGATCTAACTGGCCTCCTGTGCTTCGCCAGGCGCGACAGCAAGGTAGCAAATGTCCGAAAGCTGTCATTCCTTTAAAAACTAGAATCATATGTTCAGTTGAATTCCTTAGGTAGGCATCAGCCTCGAATTTGGGGATGGCAGTACTTAAACAATAAGACTGAAAGGAAGAATATATCATGTGATGTCTCGAGACCAAGCAGATACTCAATGAGCTCTCAATCGGGGGTAAGTAGGCTTAGAGCTATCAACCCCCAAATCCGAAGTACTTCATCGAGTTATTCTTGATAATAATCTATGCGTTTGGCCACCGTCACTTTTGGAAATGGGCAGTTTCACTTAGTTGAAGTCTATTT